TTCCGTTTCTGCTTTTCGTCGAGTTCCGAAGTTGCAACCGATAAAATTAAGGTTTATGGGAATAGTCTTCAGGTGGGTGTGTTTAGCAGCATACAAACATAACGAACTCCGAATTTACGTGGCGGAAACTTCGCGTGTGTACACAAGAACGCGAATCGCACACACGGAGACCGAGTTTCTGCAAACTTCGATGAAGGTATAGGAAACTCGTTGCGTAGAACTTGGAAGGTACTTAAAATTCAAATAACAATTTTCCATAATTGAGCGGGCGAATTTTGGTGCCACAAAAGTTTGTCATCGCAGAAATTCTTTTATGGAATACTTTCAGAGTTTGATGAGACAAGAAAATTCCTGTTGTTATATGTGAAAAAAGGGCTCGGAGTTTATTTTCCATTTTGAGGCATTTTTATAAAATTTCGAAACAATTTTTTATTAATAAAATTTTATTTTGTTGGTGAGATATACTGATTATAATTTAATAGTGCGATGATTCTAATTTAATAATTATTCTAATTTAATATTGTAAATTTTCATAATAAATTTTGTAATTGAATAATGTACATTTTGATAATAATCTTCATAATTTAATAATGCAAAATTATAATAATGATTGTAATGCAAATTATGGCGGTTAAAATTTAACTAGGAGTTAATTGCACATTTACTTTCAAATTGAAAATAAAGTAGAAACTTCACTTCACAGACCCTGCATTCGATTTTATGACGTATTAAAATAATTATAAATTGTTCCGCCTACTCTCCCTAAAGGTCAGTTCGTAGCGAATAATTATAACGGTTTAATAGGCAGCTCACTTTAATGTGCGTACCTTATCGACCTTAAAAAAGGTGAAAGAATATTTATTAATGATTCTGCTAGTGATAGAATTATACTCTACCATTTTATCTTGTGACAATTATAAAATGGTCCATTAAACCTTGACACACCTGATGCGTCATCGATCAATACACCAAAAAATTAATGACAAAAAATGCAAGATATTGACTCCCTTTGTTCGTGGAAATAAAGATTCTATTTAAATTTTGCATATTTCGTTAAAAAAAGAGTGTATCCTTTGGTCAAACGTGTTGTGTTAGGTGCGGTAACGGCTAATAAAAATCCTCTGGTAAGATCCGCGCGATCCGGTACGCGGGTCGATTGTTTCTCCAGGCGAGAAGTAAATTGGATTTTGTCGAGATCCGACGCGATTGGATACGCTTTCAGAAAATCGAGTTCTACGCCCCGTGAAATAGAGCAAGCGGATCACGCGTTTCGGACACTGCGGCGCGAAATTTGCCCCGATGAATCGTGTTTCAACCGGAAGGTAAATTGGAAACGATCGCGGCCTTTCCAGCCAGGTGACATTATCAAATTTTTTCGGCCGGGATCCTCTTTCTGCTGGTTCGATCGCGTTAACGGTTTATCGGACAACCGAGACCGATGGGGAATCAATTGGGGAAACGTTACGGTAAAACTTTGGACGCGTTTCCTTGCTCGATTTCATCTCACTCGGTAAAATTGCTCGACTCTGTCGAGATATTTGCGCCAATTGCTGTTTCAAAATGATGGCAGTTCCATTCGCTTCTGACCCTGTTTTTGATGTATCTATACACGAGCGATAACTGTCTTCTTCGTGCAAGTGCTCGATTAAGTTTGACGGTTTGATTGATTGATGTTTGTTTGATGAACTTTGGATGGGGGGATCGATTCGGTGCTTTTCACTCGGCTATTTACGGATGCAGAATAATTAGACATTTTGAGGGCTACTCGAACAGTGGTCGGTAATTGATTGAAAATTTTTGAAATCCTGTTTTGATTTACCAGGTGTATCGAAGTAATTCTTAATTGCTACGCTAGATTGAGTTAGCTTCATATTTTTGTGGTATGTCCTCAAATGAGCAGTTGCGCTCTCAATCAAAAGAAAAACGAGTGTCGTCTTGTGGCAAAAGATGACCTAACCCGATACGCTTTGATTCTACTTTGGTACCTAAACGCAAAAAGTAATGGGTTGACACAACCATCGACCGCAAGAATCACTTCGGAAGGAAGACAACTATGCATTTGGATCAAGCTGTCGTGTATCATGAAACAACGCGAAAACAATTAACACCGATCGCTACTGTCAACGAATAATCAGTTAGAACCACGCACAAATCGAAAAGCATCCAGATTGGGCTAGAAGACACGGAAAAGTGATTTTGCAACACAACGCCGCATCACGCACAGAAAACGGTTAAAGGCACAATTTCTGCACTTGGTTGGACTCTTGCCCCACCCGCCATACTCACCAGACTTGGCCCTTTCGTACCACTTGTTTTCATCAATGGCTCACATTTCCAGGAACACTTCAACAGTTAAGATGTCGAAAAATGGCGGATGGCTGGTTTCTCTCGAAACGTGAAGAATTTTTTGGGAGGGCACAATTTGAAGGGCTGATGCGAATGTCTAGCGATGGTACTTTGAATAAAGCATTTTTTCCCCGGAAATTCAAATTGTTTTCTTAAAAAAAAATTAGTAGCACGAAGTCAAATGTGATTGCCGTATAATTTATTTATCGGGTGCGAGGTGTGTCATATTTGAACTGTGGTGCGTCACGAGTCAAAAATGTATAGCCAGCGATGGTACTTTGAGTAAAGTATTTTTTCTCAAATTTGAATGTTAAGAATTATTAGGTGGTACACCTGGTGGATGAAGTCAAATGTGATTGTTGTATAATTTATTAGGTGCGTCGTGCTTGAACTGTAAGTGCGTCACGACTCAGACTTAAATTTAAATTTTCTTAAAATATTAGTAGCTTGTAGTCAAATATAATTGTCGTATAATTTATTAGATACGTCATACTTGAATCGAAAGTGCGTCATGCTTGAATTATGAGTGCGTCACGACTCAGACTTAAATTTAAATTTTCTTAAAATATTAATAGCTTGCAGTCAAATATGATTGTCGTATAATTTATCAGGTGCGTCATACTTGAATTATGAGTGCGTCACGAGTCAGACTTAAATTTAAATTTCCTTAAAAAAAAATTAGTAGGATGAAGTCAAACATGTTCACTCTCTAATTTCTCAAGTGCGTCATACTTGAACTATGAGTGCGTCACGAGTCAGACTTAAATTTAAATTTTCTTAAAAAAGAAAATTAGTAGTATGAAGTCAAATATGATTGCCGTATAATTTATCAGGTGCGTCATACTTCAATAGAAAGTACGTCATACTTGAATTATTAGTGCGTCATGAGATAGACTTAAATTTAAATTTTCTTGAAAAATTGGTAGCTTACAATTAAATACGATTGCCGTCTAATTTGACAGCTGTGTTAGAACTAGCCATTCATGGCTACAATATTAAACTGGACTATATAAATTATAATTGAACTCAAACTTGAAATTGAAGCGTATTAAAAATTCAAATAACATTTATTACAACTCAGACTCGTCAACAAAAAAGTACCTCTCTAAAATGCCCAATAGCAATATATTTTATACAATAGTCAAAGAACTTGAACTTCAAATTAACTTTAACTTCAACTTCGTCGTATCCTACTATAGCTAACAACGTCGATTAGTACAAACCTAATCTCAACAAATCCCCCAGCAGATGTTACCACTCGCAAACTAAAGATCACAACAGCCATTTCTCCATCGATCCACCGTCCAACCGTCATTAATCAAAGGCACTTCCCACGGATCCTCGAAGGCATCCCTGAAACTCCGAAGAAGATCGTTCGCGAAACGCGCGAGGAACGCGGGCGCGCGAGAGCCTCGAGACAAAATGGCGAAGGACAAAGGAGAGTGCAGGCTGAAGTAATCAAAGCTGGCCGTCGAGACGCGAATTCCTGGTCCCTTTTAGTAGTTGTCTATTTCGCGAAGAAATAAAAGTGGCGTTCTCGAGGGCATTCGAGCGTGGGACGTTTTCTTTTTTTTTTTTTGTTTCCTTTTCATACAGTCGCGAAGGCAGAATCGCGTTTCACGTCGCTCGCCGTCGGAATAATTGACCCAAATGTACCGCAAAAATAGCGGATCATAAATTACAGGGACGGGAAGGGGAGTGCACTTGACACGGCCCTGTCGCGACACGGTCAACGAAGCCGGAGAGACAGACGACGCGGCAGAAAAAGAGGGTTCCATTCAAGGTTACTCATTCTTCCGGCGTGTCCTCGTTTCGAGTGGTGACAATCGGGAAACTCGCACAAAGAAGGGATTGAGGGACGTAGGAAGTTGGACACCCTGGGGACTGGAAACGGATGATGAACGTATAGTTCGCTCGGACGAACGGGGTTGAAGTTTGTTTTTTGGGCGTACCAAGTTTTCGATTATGTTCTTCATATGAACCATTTCTAACGCCACAACAATTTGTTTCTCTCACTTGCATATATTTTAACTGTACTGATAATTAATTTATAGCAACGACTTATCCTTACTGGACATCCTCGTCATCATCCTTGTCCTTATTAAAATATGCAACTACTGAAATAATTTTTATTAACGTGTATTTGAGGATCCTTTATTATCGCAAGCTCTGAATGTACTAGAATAAACCTTGAGCTCTAAATAATTTTACCAATATGTATGCACAAGAACCTTTATTAGCATTGTAAGCTCTAAATAACCTTACTAATTCCCAGTATACATGGTAAACACGACGTGTCAGGGATGTTGACCCTGCGTCCATATCTGGGATGACTGCGACCCGGCTTACGCTCGGCGCACGTAATATTAAAATACAACAAACTGAAGTCACACAACAAATAATTTTTGCTGAACATAAATATTTTTCACGAAACTCGACCTGTGTTCTACAGGGATCCCCTAAAATTTCCTCTCTGTAAAAAATACCAGAAGCAATATAAAAAACATGTCAAAAGTCAAAGCGATCTGATAACCAAAAAATGAAAGGTCAAAGCAATTCGACACGCGAAACACTCCGTTAGTCAAAGAGAGTTGTGACAGTTTTAAAACAAAGTTCGATAGTGAAAATGTAAGCAGATGAATTTCTGTTTGCAGGTGACTGAGGCAGTCATGTAACAGTGGAAAACTGCCGACACCGCAAGGTAAACCGGTGTACCCTAGTGTCTATATCAGCGCTAAAGCTGGCAATCGTCCGAGGGGACAAGAAACTTGGCAAGAGGCGTCGCCCTTATCCCGTAGCGAAGATGAAGGCCAACCTGGTACGTCGTCTGGTTGGCACGTCCGTGACCTAAGGCCTCTGATCGGGTCTCTTCCGGTCGAAGAAGAGGAACAAGGCCAAGGTGCAACGCTGCTGAGCATGACGACGATCGTGACTAGTTCCGAGGCAACCGAGGTGTCCTCGGTGAACGTGACTACCCTGTTCAACGCCATCTCCGAGGACAATCAGTTCGTAAACAGCAGTTACTCGAACGAACAGAAGTGGTCGGTGCCCACCACCATAGCCAAAGGCTGTCTGTTAGGCTCCATCATCGTGACGGCGGTGTTCGGTAACCTGCTGGTGATGGTGTCCGTGATGCGTCACAGAAAGCTGCGCATCATCACCAACTACTTCGTGGTCTCTTTAGCGTTGGCCGACATGCTCGTGGCGATGTTCGCCATGACGTTCAACGCCAGCGTGCAGATGACGGGCAGATGGCTGTTCGGTTACTTCATGTGCGACGTCTGGAACTCGTTGGACGTCTACTTCAGCACCAGCTCCATACTCCACTTGATGTTCATCTCGGTCGACCGTTACTACGCGATCGTGAAGCCGCTCAAGTACCCCATCATCATGACCAAGAGGCTGGCCGCCTACATGCTGCTCGCCTGTTGGATCATGCCGGCGTTCATCTCGTTCATGCCCATATTCATGGGCTGGTACACCACCGCCGAGAACAGCGAGTACCGGCAGAAGCATCCGGAGCGCTGCGAGTTCAAGGTGAACAAGGTGTACGTGATATTCTCCTCCAGCATCTCCTTCTGGATACCCTGCACGATCATGACGCTCACCTATCTCGCGGTCTTCAAAGAGGCCAACAGACAAGAGAAACAGATGCACAGCAGGATGGGTAATGTCATGCTGCTCAGCCACAGGCCCAGCAAGGATCTCAACAATCTCAACGGGGAACTCAACAGCGCGGGATCCTCCAAGACTTTAACTCTCAACGAGATCAACACTGATCATTTGCATACACCTACCAAGGATAAGAATATCATGAAGATGAAGAGAGAGCACAAGGCTGCTAGGACGTTAGGCATCATTATGGGTACCTTCATAATCTGTTGGCTGCCATTTTTCTTATGGTGCGTTCCATCTTGGGTACCGTGTGTGAATGTGATAAGGACGTGATCTCTGTGTATTATGTGTCAACAAGTTGTTTTCTGGTACTCCGGTTTGTGCATTTTATTTCAACTTATATTTTTCTAATTCTGTTTTGGGTTCTGGTTGTCGATTCTGGTAAGACACTTCTTTTATTTCTTAATATTTTCTGGTAACAGTAAGAGAAAGAATTGTTCCCTGTGTCGAGAGTCTTCTTGTGAGGCGTACATGGAGTCTCTGTAGAAGACACTGTTTACGACTTTGGTCTTGTTTTTTGTTATTTAATTTCTTGAGCATGATTTGCAAATCTCGAGCAATTAATGTCAAAGGCAAAACTGAATCAGAAGAAGTATTCATGTTGTCCTGGTTTCCTTTCCGTTTTTGTTTGTTAATTGTAACTTTCAAGTGGTTTAATGTAACATGGAAATTGAAGAGACCGGTGACGCACATGGCATCGTGCTCGTTTAATGGATTCAATTGCCCTCGTTAGGATAAGAAAACACAATTAAGTAAATACGACCGTGGAGAATAATTTTGTGTGAAACAATTTCCATTGTCCTGTTTCGAAAAAGCTGTCATTTAAACTTTTAAAAACCGTTCAAAATATTCAAGCATTTGAATGCAATTATCAAGGAAAAATTGAAACAAAATCATGAAAGAACGTAACATACTGAAGTTTAAGTCCACAACTGTTTCCTGGACAAAGGGTCGAGTTATCTTGCCCTCCGGGCACAGTTGCCCATCCGTGTTTCACCGAGTTCTCCGCAAGTTTCCCTGGTCCAAAGGGTTAAACTTGTCGATCGAAATTTCGAACATTGTCGTAAGTCGAAATCTCTGTCTGTAGGTACGTTATCACGACATTGTGCGGCGAGGATTGTCCGTGTCCCGACATCGTGATCGCGTTACTGTTCTGGATCGGATACACGAACTCTGCGCTGAATCCGCTGATCTACGCGTACTTCAACCGTGACTTCCGAGAAGCCTTTAAGAACACATTGCAGTGCGCGTTCTGTTCGCTCTGCAGACGAGAGCCGTCCGACCTCGAGGCGCTCGATTTCCGTCGGCCGTCCCTAAGGTACGATCTGGTCTGACACATCGAGGTACGCACTATGTTCTATCGCTTTCTTTCTTGCCCTTCTATATTTGTTTCCCTTCCTGATTGGACAGAAAAGGATCTTGTACTCTGTTCACGGTAATTCATTAGTAGTCTTCGTATGAGTAGGCTAATAGCCTTACATTCATATAGGAGTAGTAGGCTACTAGCTTTATATTTACGTAAGTAGTCTTTATATAAGAGTACTAATAGACTACTAGCCTCACATTCACATAAGCAGTCTTCTCATAAGTTAGTAGGCTACTTACATTCATATTACATAAACAATCTTCACATAAGACTATTATTCCACTATTAATAAATAGATAATAAATACAAATAAATAGATCAACACTAAAATAATAAGTACATCTTGAAGTCTCTTTTGATTTCAAACTCATAATAAACAACCACATCGTAGACTTATTAATATAAGTCTCAATATAAAATAAAATGCGCGGGGAAGTCCGACTCGCGCCGCCATCTTGTCCGCGCGCCGAGTCACGTGACCCGTCTTCGGGTATCTTCGCCCCACACACCAATGTAAATATCAAAACTTTTTTATTCTTGATTTGTTTGTCATGAAACTTGTATCAACAGATTTGTTATATTTTTCCGATTAAAACGAGACCAAACACTATATAATTTTTACTGTATTTATTAATTTAATCGATAATAATACACTCAAATATGACTAACCTATTTGCACCATTGTGTTTCAAGTTATAATTATAATTTATACAATAAAAAATCTCTAAATACGAAACATACCTTTTTTTATTTTAATATTGTAATAATAATTAGTTGAAAAATCATGTCACCTGTGAACGTAAAAACGTCTTAAAATCTCCTTAGAGACTAAAGATTGAAAGCTTCTTTAAAGATTATTTTTACCGTGGACAGAATACCGACTCTGAAATATGTTTTATTAATGAAATTAATGTTCCTGTCAGCAGGCTTTAATTTTGAAGCTATCGAGCTTTAAAAATACTGTCGTTAGAATGACAGGTATAAATTATTAGGTTGATAATCTTGTTTAAAGTGTTGAATCAAATATTTCAAAATAATAAATTTAACATATTTCAAGGTAATCCTCTATGACCAAATTTCTTCTTCGAAGCTGTTCTTACGCAAACGCCGTGAAATAGGGGTATCGTTCGATCGAACAAAATAGGAATTTGAGCCACGTGTTCCATTTTTATTTACGTCCAGCAAACGAGACTCGTAATTACTGATTCGTCAACATCTGAAAGTTCGTTCAAAGCAGAATTTATAAAATATTTTTCATCCCGCATTTTTCATTTATTTCCCCCAGCAATATTTCGCGGAAATCAATGGTCGAAAGTTCAGTTTCATTTGATGTTCGAACTTGTAGTTTGTTTTTCGTCAAATTTTACGACCAACTTATCCCCCTATCTCACGCGGAAATTGCAAACACCGAAAGCCATCCTTAAAATACATCCACCACCCTGTGTTTACCTTGATGAAAATGTATCCTCGATAGAAAATTGATCCGCTGAAATCCGATGGGTTGTTTTGACGGTAATTCGAGTACGCTGCTGATGCATCTTTTGTTTAAACAAAAACCATTTTGGACGAAGATGTCCAATCGACAGAAATCGTTGATGCGTATTTTACTGTCCGTTTTCCCACTTGTTTAACTTGTGCTGTAATGAAAATAAAGTACCCGAAAGCTGCGACCACGTAACGATAACATATTGCGGCCATTTGCAATTCGCGATGTGTAATTGTGAGATTAAGAGCTCTGCGAAAGTCATTTTCCTGAAACTGTGCAGTCTTTTATAACTTCATATGTGTACAAATTTTAGGACAAGTTAATTTTTATAGATTGTAGAGAAAATTTGTTGAGCCTTGCATTTTCACTTCTGTCTAATATTTTTCATTTATTGATCAACTATAATTTTGTCAGTATGCTCAGCTTATTTCTAGTGCTTGATAAAGTTATTCCAGCTTAAAGTTACTCAAGTTTCTCATAACATCATTTGTTCGAACACGACGCGACTCGAAGCCATCACTACCCGTCGCTTAACGACAATCCTCGCGACAAAGGATTACAATCGCAGCTTATTTCAAGTGCTTGATAAAGTAACTCAAGCTTAAAGCTGCTCAAGTTTCTCGTAACGTCATTTATTCGAACACGAGGTGACTCGAAGCCATCACTACCTGTAAATTAACGACAATCCTCGCGACAAAGGATTACAATCGCAGCTTATTTCAAGTGCTTGATAAAGTAACTCAAGCTTAAAGCTGCTCAAGTTTCTCGTAGCGTCATTTGTTCGAACAAGACGCTACTCGAAGCCATCACTACCTGTAAATTAACGACAATCTTCACGACAAAGGATTACAATCGCAGCTTATTTCAAGTGCTTGATAAAGTAACTCAACTTAAAGTTATTCAAGTTTCTCGTAGCGTCATTTATTCGAACAAGACGCTACTCGAAGCCATCACTACCTGTAAATCAACGACAATCTTCGCGACAAAGGATTACAATCGCAGCTAATTTCAAGTGTTTGATAAAGTAACTCAAGCTTAAAGCTGCTCAAGTTTCTCGTAGCGTCATTTGTTCGAACAAGACGCTACTCGAAGCCATCACTACCCGTAGATTAACGACAATCCTCGCGACGAACAATTTTAATCGCAACTTACTTTCAGTGCTTTATAAAGTTATTCGACCTTAAAGCTACTCAAGTTTCCCGTAGTGTCATTTGTTCGAACACAACGCGACTCGAAGCCATCACTACCCGTAGATTAACGACAATCCCCGCGACGAACGATTTCAATCCCAGCCCGCATGAAAGCAGTTTGAACAAAACGTATTGGTGCCATTCTGTGTTTCTGCTTGCAGGTACGACGACCGCACTAAGAGTATATACTCGGAGACGTACATGAAGCACGTCGACCGACGAAGATCGAGCGAGTTTGGTAGCAGTCTCTGAGATGAGAGTCTCGTCTTTGTACCGTAAAAAAACCGCATCCGCGAAAAAGACACGTATAAATACGTACACCCACCTAAACACATCCGTACCGTCGCCTATATACGCACGCAACAAAATGGACGCGTACAACTCGACTGTATACGTACAGAACGTGTAGTTCACCTCCGCCATCTTGCCAAAATGAGAAGGACTCGAGTACTCGCGTTTTTCGGCCTCGTGTGCTTACCTCTTACAACGTTTTCATGTAAATTACTTTCAAGGTATTTGAAGGTGAAATTTATTTGAAGATCAAAGTCATTTGAATGTCAAATTCATTTCAGAGTGAAATTCGTTTGAAGATGAAATTCAATTCTGGGTGAAATCTTGAGTTTTATGTATTGTCGTTCGGGACCATCTGTCAGAGATTGTTGTCGATTAATACTCAAACGAAAGTATTGAGGGTGATGGTGTTTTGTATACGATCGCAACAGCATCAGTCGAGATTTCTACCTTTGTCAAGGTTGAAATTTAGAGTAGTGTTGAAACTACTCGAAGTACAGTTGAGGTTTCCCGAAATATTTCAATGTCTGATTTAGATAAGTGACATGATGTACAGATGGTCTCTTATGACAACGCAGTTCAACGTGGTCCAAACTTGCTTCACATAGTGGCGCCAGTTCAAATAACTGTGTCCTATTAACTGAAAGTAATATCAGCAAATTACTCAACATACTCAGAAAATTGTCATATGCAGACAGTAAACTGACAGCAATATTTGGACACCAGCAATGAAAGTATCATCCAGAAATATCCAGACTAACCGAAAGCGACCTAACCAGAAATACTCAGACATCAAACCAACCAACAGCATCGAAACATCAAATCAGTGCATCACAGTAAAATAATGAACCACATAATCCAAAATTGAACGTAAACGTTTACAGCCCCAAAAAGCAATAAACATACAGAACAAACAATCTGTCAGTGCAAACACGGTGCACAACGTGAAATAACTTGATAAAAGTTCGCTTTGTAAACGTTTACTGACAACAAGAGCTGATTTCGCATCGTCTCGTTAAGCAAAATCAGTGCTCATCAGACCACACATGAATGATAAAATGTAGCTGTTGAGAGCGGGAGCACACGTGGCCAGAAAGCATAGGGACACACGGGAACCGGGTAACACGTACACACCTGGAACGCATCATCATTGCCAAAGATAGTATTTTTAAGCGAACTTTACACTGATCAGGAGACACGTTTCACGCTGGAATCGATCACTCGACGAGCAAAGTACCCCGGAAATCAAGGGATAATTTCGTTCATGAACCAATTTCCAGGCTGTATCCTTCGTAAGGGGAAGATGGGTGAACTGGTTTGTGGGATTCTTGGGGATTCGAGGACGGTAGTCAGAAGTTGGCGTAACTAGGATCTTTGAGGTGGATGTGGATGTGGGTGGATGGACGAGGATGTGGGTGGATTGATGAGGATGTGGATGGGCTGATGATGTCATTGTTAGGTAGATGGTTGAGGGTTGAGTGGGGGATTTGGATATGGGGAGATATGAGGATTCCTAAGTCTCCAAGTCTGTATATTACCAAATCTCTATGTACCTTGTAGTCTACAACCACTATAGTATGTACCCTATCTCTATACTCCACATGTCCAGAACTCTATAGCACCATAGTCCACATATCCAAAACTCTATATACTCTGTACTCCACACCTGCAGAATTCTATATCTACATACTCTATCTCTATACACCACATGTCCAGAACTCTATATCCCCAAACCTTTATATACTCTGTACTCCACATCTCCAAACCTCTATATCTACATACTCTATCTCTATGCTCCACATCTCCAAAACTCTATATACCCTGCACTCCACATCCCCAGAGCTCTATATCTACATACTCCACATCTTCAGAACTCTATATCCCCTTAGTTCATCTCTCCAAAACTCTATATCCCTCTACTCCACATCTTCAAACCTCTATATTCACATACTCCACATCTTCAAAACTCAATATCACTGTAGTCCACATCTTCAAAACTCTATATCCCTGTACTCCACATCTCCAAAACTCTATATCCACATACTCCACATGTCCAGAACTCTATATCTACCGTAATCCACATCTCCAAATCTCTAAATCCCCAGTACTCCACATCTCCAAAATTCTATATCCCCTGTACTCCACATCTTCAGATCTCTATATCCCCGATATTCCACATCTCCAAATTCCTATACCTACAATTTTCTATATCCCCCAATTCCTATACCCCCAAATTCCCATATCCCCGAATCCCTATACTCCCAAATCTCCCTATCCCCAAATCTCCACACCTTCAAATTCCCATATCCCCAAATCTCTGCCTCCCTAAATCCCTATATCCCCAAATTCCCATGTCCCCAAATTTCTATACTTCCAAATCTCCACATTCCCAAATCCCTATAGCTCCAAATCTCCACATCCCCAAATCCCCACACCTCCAAATCTCTACATTCCCAAATCCCTATAGCTCCAAATCTCCACATCCCCAAATCCCCACACCTCCAAATTCCTATATCCCCAAATCTCTGCCTCCTCAAATCCCTATACCCCCAAATTCCCATATCCCCAAATCTCTATACCTCCAAATCTCTACATCCCCAAATCCCTATAGCTCCAAATCTCCACATCCCCAAATCTCTACCTTCCTAAATCCCTACACCTCCAAATTCCTATACCCCCAAATCTCCACATCCCCAAATCCCCATAGCTCCAAATCTCCACATCCCCAAATCTCTACCTTCCTAAATCCCCATATCCCCAAATCTCTATACCTCCAAATCTCCACATCCCCAAATCCCTATAGCTCCAAATCTCCACATCCCCAAATCTCTACCTTCCTAAATCCCTACACCTCCAAATTCCTATACCCCCAAATCTCCACATCCCCAAATCCCCATACCTCCAAATTTCTATACATCCCAGTATCCTTACATCCCCAAATTCCTCTCCCAATTCCTCACACCCCAAAATCTCCACCTCCCAAAATTTCCACCCCTTCCAAATTCCCAAACTCTCTAAACCCCCCCATATCACAGTTCCCACATCCTCCTATTCCAATATCCCCCATTCATACCAAAAGTTGCTTAGTCAAGCATTTAAAACGCATCACGCATGACTCACCGCGTATTTTTGCAAGAAATGTGGGTCATACCGGTTCCTATCTAGTTGCGCCAATGTCCGGGCCTCGAATCTCCTCCACTCCTTTTTTTCTCCTCTCCAAGCGAATGCAAATGTATATATAACGAAGGAGAGCGGAGAATCTCGTGTTTATGGAACAAGCTTTTGAGTTTGATTGGCAGATCGAGAGCTCGGCGCCCGCTTTTGACGATCAAGTGGATGGTGCATGCAATAAATAAAGACGAAGCGAATAGATAACCGTTTCCGACGATCGAATATCGAAGGGCCAGCGTGGAAAAGTCCGATTCTTCGACGAGAATTCTCCCGTTTCAAATGCTCGAATGTTTTATGTTCGTTGTTGTTTGTCGTTCGTTTCCCCCCTGATCTGATCGATACCGTTGTTAATCGCGTGTCACTAAACTCACGTTCTTTCTTTTCTTTGTTTTAGCGAATCGAAAATTAACTGTTTTCTTCTTTTAATACGATGTGATAAGGTTCGTAGGACCTGTCTTTAGGAATTATTGTTTTTTTATTTTTATCGTTGAAACATTGTCTGGTTTGAACAGTTTTGTATGGAACAGTTTCTATTTTATCGGGAATGTGTGTTTGTGGAAAATATGCAAGTAGGATCGAGATGGAGATTGTATATCTGGAAAGATTTAATTGTAAGAAGTTATTATGTTGGATTTATTTTGTATTGGATTGGGCATGAAATTAAAATGTGAGATTTTGTGTGCAGTCCAAATTATGAAATTTCAAAAATTCCCTAAGTTACGAATTTCAAAAATTCCCAAATTTCTAATTTGCCAATTTTACAAAAATTCACAAATTCCAAAATTCGATAATTTCAAAGTTCAAAAATTCCCTAGTTCCTCAGTTCCCTAATTCCCCAATTCTCTAGTTCCCCAATTCCCTAGTTCCCCAATTTCCTAGTTCCACAATTCCCTAGTTCCAAAATTCTCAAGTTACCAAATTCTCTAGTTCCAAAATTCCCTAGTTTCCGAATTCTCTAGTTCCCCAATTCTCTAGTTCCCCAATTCCCTAGCTCCACAATTTCCTAGTTCCACAATTCCCTAATACCAAAATTCTCAAGTTTCCAAATTCCCTAGTTGCCAAATTCTCTAGTTCCCGAATTCTCTAGTTCCCCAATTCCCTAGTTCCCAAATTCCCTAGCTCCACAATTTCCTAGTTCCACAATTCCCTAATACCAAAATTCTCAAGTTTCCAAATTCCCTAGTTGCCAAATTCTCTAGTTCCAGAATTCCTTAGTTCCCAAACTCCCTAGTTCCCAAATTCTTTAGTTCCCCAATTCCCTAGTTCCACAATTCCCTATTTCCCAAATTCCCTAGTTCCAAAATTCTCAAGTTACTAAATTGCCTAGTTCAAAAATTTTCTAGTCCCCAAATTGCCTAGTTCCATAAGTTCCTAGTCCCCAAATTCTCTAGTTCCCGAAATTCCCTAGTTCAAAAATTCCCTGAACTTGAAATTTTCTGGTCTCCAAACTCCCTAGCTCTAAGATTCCCTAGTTACCAAATTTCTCAGTTCCCCAAATTCCCTAGTTTCCAAAATTTCTTAGTTCCCTATATTCCGTAGTTCCAAAATTCCCTAGTCCCCAAATCGCCTAGTTCCAAAATTCCCTGCTCCTCAAATTCTTCAATTGCCAAATTCCTTAGTCCCAAAATTCCCTATTTCTCATATTTTCAAGTTCCAAAATTCCCCAGTTCTGAAATTTCTAGTGATTTTTGTTTTATTACCAAATTTGTTGGGCTGTGATATTAAATGTTTGATGATAATATTTGCATATTTTGTGGAAGCATACGTTCGTCTTAAAATACAATCTATTTTATACCGATAATGTAATTATTAAATGGTAGAGATTTGAACGTAAGACAGTGTATGATTTGAAATCGTTGTTAAATGTTTGTTTATTTTGAAAGTTGCGTCTGTTTCGAAGAAATTTTTATATTTTATCGCGGTAGTGTTTACGATCGATTGTTACCTTGATTTTAAGCGAAGAGATATTTATATTAATAATAATAATAATAATAATAATAATGATCATATCAATGATTTCTTGTTACGTATTTTGTAAAACGGGCTTCCTTTCAAGAAATTGCTGTTATCGTGTAAATTTATTGAGAAACGACATAGTGATAATTAAATGTGATTAAATTTACTCTTTTATTGATTAATTTATTGATTAATTTATTGTTAACGATGGTCCAGTGGAAATTTCGCGGTGGTTAGATATCTGTGATCGACACGTTTTGCGTGCTAAGTGTTTGTAATTGTTTGGAAGTAATCATTTGGAAGGTGTTTTTTTAATTCAAGTTAAGTAAACTTTAAGGTGAATTAATTGAACTTTGATTCAATTTGATTGGACTTTAATTTTAATTCAAGTTAATTATACTTTAGATTTAATTTAAGTCTGATTGAACTTTAGTTGAAAGTGATTGAACTTCAAGTTTAATTCAAATTAATTGAGCTTCAATTCAATTCTAATCGAACTTTAATTGAAAATGATTGAACTTCAAGTTTAATTCAAATTAATTGAGCTTCAATTCAATTCTAATCGAACTTTAATTGAAAATGATTGAACTTCAAGTTTAATTCAAATTAATTGAGCTTTAATTCAATTCTGATTGAACTTTAATTGAAAGTGATTGAACTTCAAGTTTAATTCAAATTAATTGAGCTTTAATTCAATTCTGGTTGAACTTTAATTGAAAGTGATTGAACTTCAAGTTTAATTCAAATTAATTAAGCTTTAATTCAATTCTGGTTGAAGTTTAATTGAAAGTGATTGAACTTCAATTTAATTCAAATTAATTTAGCTTTAATTCAATTTGATTGAACTTCAATTTCAATTCAAATTAATTAAACTTTAACTCTAATTCAACTTAATAGAACTTTAATTGAAATTGATTGAACTTTAAGCTTAATTCAAATTAATTGAATTCTGATTCAAACTAATTGAACTTTGATTCAAATTAATCGAACTTTAATTCAAACTAATGGAACTTTGATTGAAATTAATTGAACTTTCCCTTTAATTCAAACTAATTGAACTCTGATTCAAATTAATTGAACTTTCCCTTCAATTCACACAAATGAATAAAAACTATCAAGTACCACAAAAGAAAATAATTAAAAAATGAACGACGTGAAACGAACAGAACAAATACAAAAGACAAACGAAAAAAAAAAAACGCAACAATGTCGATAATAAAATCCGGCGATGAAAGAAACCGGCGATATAACAAAGCTGAAAGAGCAATGCAATAAAACGTCGCTTCGTTAGGTTATCGTTAGATAAGGCTTGGCATTAATTTAATTCCTACACGTACACGTACTTTAAGTCGCTAATTAACGTTAAATTAATTTATACCTCATCGTCGAAACGTCGATTAATGCGTATTCGTTTCGTATCGAAGTCTGACAATTGAATCCGTGACACTGTTATCTTGTTTATCGTGTTATTCCCTATTTTTCCTTTCTTTCTTTTCTGATTTTATTTCACTTCATACTCATCGTTTCTCTGTGATAGAATTCCGCGAACATCATCGTACACACATTTTGTAAATAGCTTGTAAATATCAGCGTCGTTTTGTCGAAACGGTGCTTTTCATGGAAATATTGTAGTCTGCGTGAATCATTAGTTAATAAAACAGCGGTGGAAAGTGTATCGAACGGAAATCGTGTTTCGTTGTAATTTTTAATAAAAAATCATTCATGTTTTACGTTGCTCGATACGCGAGAATGTTTTTAATTTTATATCTGTATTTATTCGTCGATTCTTTGTAAGAATTTTTGGTGAAATTGTTTTGTTTAGAATTTTTGTTTTTGGTGCAATATTGTTATTTCAATTTAATTTAATTTTATGTTTAGTTTTATAAGAATTTCAATTGTTATCAAAATTCAAGTTAAATTAATTTCATTTGATTTTGGATTATTTTGTAAAAATTTTCATTCTTGTATGAATTGCAATTAAATCAATTTATATTTAATTATTTTATTTTATAAAAATTCTCATTCTTGTAAAAAATCAGGTGAAATTAATTTAATTTAATTTTATGTGATTTCATAAGAATTTAAATTCTTGTAAAAATTT